TTTCTTTGTGGCTTTATTTATTTTTAATACACGTAATCTCCAAATGCATTCCTACTCCAAAAATACGAATGAATTCCACAACAGAGAGAAAAGACACTTCTCCTCCATGTGCCCTCCTTCACCCCACGCCAAGGCTCAGTCCCCCTGAAGTAAGGTAACTGGTAGACCATCTGGAAGTATGTCTCCAGACCTTTTCCCACATATTCTGCATAAGATACATAACCGTTTTCAAGCCCTACCTCCAAATTCTGAGTTCTTACCAAAACAGAATTCTTATCTTCTATTTCCCTGTAATTATCTACAGTTATAAATTTTATATTTTATATACAATGGGTGCTCAAAAAATGTGTTTGATAAACTAGGCTGCCAAAGTGTGGGTTACGGCCCCAGGAAACCTCCCCACCCCCTTTCTTTGAAGGTTCCTTGGCAAGGGAAAACCAGCTAAAAATCTTTCCACAGGATCTTCCCTAGGTCTCTGTCTGGTCTGCTGGGTCTGGTAATCTGTACTAGCGTCCCTCAAACTCTGGCCAACCCTCCTGGTGCTGCCCTAGTACATCACATTCATTCAGCCTTCACAGGGCCATCTTATGACACAGAGAAAACTAACTGTAGGTAAAACTGCAGAACTGGCAGTCAGATGTAATCTTCAGTTTCATTCTGGGAAGGGCTAAACTCTTACTTAATTTTCTTTTTTTGAGTTTGGTGGCTAAACTCTTACAAAACAGACAGTAAAAAAAGACAACAAAAGGTGGTCCGGTGCTGACCACTGGCTCACATCCCAGTAACCGGAGAACGACGAGGTGGCTGCAGGATCGAATGCAGGACTGGGAGGCAGCTGGCTTTCCAGAACCGCCAGACGTGTTGGAGGCAGGCCAACCCCCAAGGAAACTCCTCTTTCAACTGACTGGCTGCTCACATCAGATCACAAAATGGAAGGTCATCACATAGTAACTGCCAAACCACTGAGAACTCATGACCTAGGAGCTCTGGTAGCGTAGTGCCTAAGGCACTTGACTGCTAACCAGAAGGCTGGCAGTTCAAACCTACCAGCCACTCCTCGGAAGGAAGGTTGGGCAATCCTACTTCTGTAGTGATACCGCCTCGGAAACCCAAGGAGGGGTCGCTGTGAGTCGGGTCCAACTCCACGGCACATAACAACAACAACAACAACAACAGCTAAGGTGACACATAACCTGAACCATCACAGATGGGCATCTACAAAGCACCACTGACATGTTAGAAAAATGTCTGACCATAAGAAAAGCATCCACCCTGGTAACTGCTGGCATTGTTTTGGAAGGAATATCCAAATCCTAAAAGTTTTAAGTTTTTTCACTGGTAGCCAGTGTGGTGGGTCTATTTTTAGCCAGCTAAATTCTCTTAATGTAAGGCTATAATTTCATTTCCTTTGTTGGCTGACGAAATTCGTAAGTACAAAAAGATATTAATAAATAAAAATACTTTAATGTAAGTTTTGATGACAGGCATATCAAAACAAGTTTTATAATCACAATATTGCTTTTGTCAGCTTTCTTTTCTACTATGTCTTAAATGCTTAAAGAAATTTAATCTACTACATTTATAAGTCTATTTACTAGATTTATAACCAAAACCCACACCCAAACCCACTGCCATCGAGTTGATCCCAACTCACAGCGACCCTATGGGACAGAGTAGAACTACCAACCTTTTTGGCTAACAGCTGAACGCCTCAACCACTGTGCCATCCGAGCTCCGTGGATTTACAAAGAAGGTACTAAATGCTTAGGAACTATGTTGTTGTTGAATTCTTAAGTCTTCCTTGTTAAGAGTGTGACAAACAGGTACACGTCGCTTAACAGCCACAATAAACCACAACCAAACTCACTGCCATCAAGTCAGACCCGACTCATAGCGACCCCTCGTTGGGTTTCCAAGGTGGTATCACTATGGAAGTAGATCACCCAAACTTCCTTCCGAGGAGTGGCTGGTGGGTTTGATTAGCAGTCAAATGTCTTAGGCACTACGCCACCAGAGCTCCTTACAGCCACAATATATTCTGTGAAACAGGACATTATGTGATCTGGACGTTGTGCAAATACCACATAAAAACCTTACGAGAGCCCGCTTCTGTTTGTCCTCACTGCTGCTGCTACTGGAGCTGCTGGTGGAGGCTAGTGGTACAGGCAGCAGATAAGAGACTGAAGGCAGAAGTAGAGTGAGAGGAAGTGAGCAAGGAAGGAGCAGAGCACACCCAGCTCTGCCTACTGTTCCTCCCGCCTGAGCAGCCGGAGCAGCCCGGGCCCCTGCAGCCCCGACCACTGCTGCCTGCCTGCCTACTGGACAAAGACTGGGAATCTGCAACCAGAGCCACATCCACTCCCTCACCTACCTGTATCCCACCCATGGTCCAGTGCTGCAAGAGGGCTTGGAAATAATGAACTAAAGGAGAGCTACTTTCCTTTTTTTAAAAAAAACCTACGTGTCCACAGATGTACATGCAATCAGACATGAAGCGACACATACCTGTGTTTGAGAGATTTCAAAGTACGTTGTTGTTGTTGTCATGTGCCGTCAAATCGCACCCGACTCATAGCGACCCCTCCTTGGGTTTCCGAGGCAGTATCACTACGGAAGTAGTTTGCCCCATCTTCCTTCTGAGGAGTGGCTGGTAGGTTTGAACCACCAGTCTTCTGGTTAGCAGCCAAGTGTCTTAGAGGAACGGGGCCCTCCAGGCCAAAGGGGTGAGGTCACCACTCAGGAACTAGGGGACTGGAGCCACCCACTGAGGAGATCTGTACAGATGCCAAGTTGACAAGGCATGGAATTGTGGTAGTTATGTTTGTGTGTCAACTTGGCTGGGCCTGGTTGAGTGGCTGGGCAGCTGGCGGTAGTTATTCCCCATGATGAGACTGGCAATCAACTCCATGGTGGGATCTACCATAAGCAGCTGAGTAGCTGCCTTTGGGAATGTGGTCTGCTTCCTGTATTTAAGAAGAAGCCTTGGGAATGGTCTCT